CCATAAGTCGTACCCTTGTGACAGCAGGAAAACGTTTGGAGAATAATACGGATCACATCCTTTAAGGCGGATGGAACACACATCTCGTGACCTTTTCCACTCCATTCTGTCAAGTCGTGCACCACTTACACTCGTGTTTATGCCACTTTGAACGCGATGTGTGTGAGGTCCGTACGTGGGTAGCTAGTGTCGACATTTTTGGTAATACGTGCTAAACATAAATGATCTGTGAAAAGCCCGTAGCTGTGGCATACGCGTGCAGTTGGTAACCGCGCACTGATGATGTTTCCTCGCTTGGTGACGAAACGTTTGCAAGCCAATTGCCAAGCTCGGCGAACAGATCAACAGCCACCTGATCAACAACCAACGTGTGCAGTTGTTTGCATGCCCCAATTTTAATCAGAGAGAACCATCGGGTTTAGACTCTGCAGCACTGAGCTGCTTCCTTGCATGTTGGTGCCCTCGACAACTATAACTATATTTGGGCTTCTAGTGTGCCGTAACAGTTCTAGAGCCACAGTCTATCGGGACATACACAGATGGAGCAATCATCAGAGCGTTCGTGAGATACTTTAGAAGAGACCAAGCACAGATTTCCTGGCAAATGACTGAAAACTGTCGCCTACCATATGCAGTGGAAGCGGGATGTCCACTCATCCGAGGATTTGAAAATATATCAGGTTGGTTTCTTCATCTTAATGTTGAATCGAGGGCCTAATGAGACTGTTGTACTCATACTTACACTTACGCTTTTAGACTATAGGCACAACCATACAGCTAACCGTGTACATCTATGATCCATTGCGCTATACTGGGAAGTATACATATGATACTCACATAGCTTCATACTAGGTTGATCAATAGGTAGAAATCTAACAGTCACTTAGTCTTCCAGGCTGTAATCGGAACACATGAGGCGACTTGATACTTAAAAACATATACTGACCTAGTGGTCTCACACCAACCACGGCTGTCTTGCGGTTAGACCTTCCAACCACAGGCTTTGATAGAGGATTTTTGTGGGATTTCGCCCTGTAAATGAAGCCAATCTATGCTGAAAAGCCGAGAAGCACTGTACAGCTGTTTCATCCTTATTGGGAATCATCAGCAGTGCGCATCTCACGAAACTCCGAAGAGTCTCGAACCCGCGACCTCCCGACAGATAGAGGACCCTAATCGTCCACCTGTCTAGCCTGGGTATCCTGGCAGTATCCCAGCCTACGTACAGCCATGAGTAGCATAACTACAGGTGTAACGGTGATACTACTGATCGGGAGGCACGCGAGTAGTATGTGTTGTTCGTAGAATTTCGCTCTGCGTCGACTGAAAAAGGGGATTCTGTTGCGGAATTCGTGGGGCCACTTTGTAACATTTGCTTGGATTTGACCGACGAATGAGTGGAGGCAACGAATCTCTAGGAAGACTCGTT